GAGACAGAGAAATAGGCATCTCCAATAAGGTCTAATGACATTATCTATCCCCAGTCTCAACTGGCATGGGTCTCACGAGCACGTATCTGTGTGCCGGGAATTCTCAGGGAGGTCCTGGGACCTGAACTCAGGACCTTTGCAATGTAAGTCTAGTCGCATTGTTTCTGGACACTACCTGGTTCCATTTGTAGACTGTCTTATCAGTTAATATACCTCAGTAACTTCTAGAGTTCTCTGACTCTATTTTTACCTTACTAAAACTTTTACTTCATAACAATTTTAGATTTAAAGAAAAAGTATAACGATAGGATAGAAAGTTTTCATGTATTTTTCACCTGGTTTCCCCAAAAGTTACATCCTCACATTGCTTTAGTAAATGTGTCAACACAATGAAATAAATATTATTATGTTACCTTTAACTAAAATACAGGTTTAATCTTATTTCACCATTTTTTCACTAATTTTTACTTTCTGTTTGGAAGTTTTAATCCAAGTCAGTGTACTACCTTTAGTCTTCTCTGATCTGTGACAGAGTCTTCAACTTTACTTATTTTCAAAGCTTGAAAGTTTTAAAATGTACCCCGGGGAGTAATTTCTCACTTTCTCTCTCTCCCTGCCTTTCTGTGTGTACAGCGAGACCACATGCCAGATAGCAAAACTTTCTCTCAAGCCTCGCAACTATCCCGCTGAGAACAACTGGTAAGGCTATATTTTGAAAACTGTCATCTGTGTGAAGACACCTGAGAGCTATAAGGACAGGGAGGGATGAGAAGGCCATACCACTTGGCAGGCTCCTTCCTTGTTTAGTTACTAAGTTACAGCCAATCACAGCAGCTAGGCTTCAGTCAGTCACAGGTATCCCACCTTTTAAACTGTGTTAACACAAACTTCGAGATGTAACCAATCCAATTATTATCTCTATCTCATTCCCTCACTTCCATTTTTGTACCTCACTTTCCCACATTGGAATATAAGTATGCCCAATCATGTGGCTACCCAGAGTCTGCTCAAAAACCATTCTGGGGTCCCCAATTAAGATTGTGCTTATTTTTGCTCAATTAAACTCCACTAAATTAAATTGTCTGAAGTTTTTACTTAACAGTATTTACTTCCATATGTGTGTAAATTTATATTCCTTTAATATTTATTTTCCCATATTCTGGATTTTGTCCCCAGTTTTGCTGAAGTATAATTGACAAATAAAAATTTACTACAGCAGATTTAACAATAAATTTCAGCCTTTATATTTTCTTCATAATTTTCCCAGAGGGCACATGTGCTTGCTAGAGAGAGACAAAGGGGAGAGCAGGAGAAAGTGAGAAACCATTCTCCATGGGTAATGCTCATGACGCAATCCCTTCTCCTCCATTTCTCCCTCGTTTCGATTTTGAGTACACTCACACATGAGCCTGGCATGTTTTTCAAGCTGCAAGGTCTGGGACTCAAACGGCCTGCTCAGCCACATGGGATACAGCTGTCTTAACCACCAAACCACAGACTGGCCCAAGCCTTTATATTTTTAATTCCAGTTAATTCAATATGCTGTTTGTATATTTTCAATTTATATTTTTCTTTCTACTTCTCTCATTCAAGGATTTCATTTATTTGAATTTGTTTTAATTTATGTTAGACTATGTACTCTCAGAGTGTTATTTCACGTGGTGCACGCCTGAGTAGGCCATCTTTTTTGGGAGGGGACAAGAGAGTTTATTTATTTCATCTATGATAGAGACAGAGAAATAGGCATCTCCAATAAGGTCTAATGACATTATCTATCCCCAGTCTCAACTGGCATGGGTCTCACGAGCACGTATCTGTGTGCCGGGAATTCTCAGGGAGGTCCTGGGACCTGAACTCAGGACCTTTGCAATGTAAGTCTAGTCGCATTGTTTCTGGACACTACCTGGTTCCATTTGTAGACTGTCTTATCAGTTAATATACCTCAGTAACTTCTAGAGTTCTCTGACTCTATTTTTACCTTACTAAAACTTTTACTTCATAACAATTTTAGATTTAAAGAAAAAGTATAACGATAGGATAGAAAGTTTTCATGTATTTTTCACCTGGTTTCCCCAAAAGTTACATCCTCACATTGCTTTAGTAAATGTGTCAACACAATGAAATAAATATTATTATGTTACCTTTAACTAAAATACAGGTTTAATCTTATTTCACCATTTTTTCACTAATTTTTACTTTCTGTTTGGAAGTTTTAATCCAAGTCAGTGTACTACCTTTAGTCTTCTCTGATCTGTGACAGAGTCTTCAACTTTACTTATTTTCAAAGCTTGAAAGTTTTAAAATGTACCCCGGGGAGTAATTTCTCACTTTCTCTCTCTCCCTGCCTTTCTGTGTGTACAGCGAGACCACATGCCAGATAGCAAAACTTTCTCTCAAGCCTCGCAACTATCCCGCTGAGAACAACTGGTAAGGCTATATTTTGAAAACTGTCATCTGTGTGAAGACACCTGAGAGCTATAAGGACAGGGAGGGATGAGAAGGCCATATCCAGGCTTTAATATGTCTTAAAGCCAGGAATTTGGGACCGCATTTCCTTCACCTACATATATCTGCCAATCTCAAAAGCAGTTGCTGTAGGAAGACTGAGAGGCTCAGGAGAAACTTCCCAAGAGTTTACAGAGCTAAGGAGACAAGAACTGGAACTTGGAGCGTGCAGCTAAGGTGATACCCTGGTAAACACTGCTGGCTTTAGGTTGTAACCCTGACGTCTCATAGCCTAGGAGTAAAAGTGAATCGTAAATAGAAAAAAATGAAGCAACTCTCGTAAGGTGTTAAGACCTATATTTGAATAATTATAATATTCATTTGTTTAAGGTCAATTGACTTTGCTAGTCCTCAATTCTAATGGCTAAATTGACCTTGTAAAATAAACATAGATATTTGACAGCTATAACACAGAAGTTAGGAAAAGGATAAGTGGCATTAAAGTGTTCTAAGCTCATGGCACCAGTAAAAAGTATACAATATTAAACTATATTAGAATTTCATTAGTATAGGATCATGTAGAAGTTTCTAAGTTAACCAGTAAAAGATAATAAAAGATCATTAAAAATAACAAGCCAGGCCAGCCCCACAGTGCACAGATTAGGCCCTACGAACTGAGAATCAGGTCCTAGATGGCTAACCATGGTTCACATCCTAGCTCTGGTAGTTCGAGGGACACACCAGTCATGTGTGTGTGTGTGGTGGGGGGCGGTGATCAAAACCCTGATGAGATAAAGAAATGGAGGAATAAAGAATGTAGGGGGGCCATGGTCCAGTAAGAGGTACTTTCTCACTTTTTGGTAAGCACGTGTACCCTATGGCAATTTTAAAAATTTTTTTAAACCAAGCTAATAAATGGAAAAATTAGTTATAATGTAAAAATTAGTTATAATGCTTAATCTAGAAACAGCCAGAAAGCAGGGGAGAGAGAAATATATAAGAGGTACAGGAAAAGAGAGGAACGATAGTAAAATGACATATGGTAGATTTAAACCCAAATATAGCAATTAAAGGATGAGTTTATTTTGGTGTAAAATAGTTTGATATCCACAAATAATTTTTTTATGATGCCTATTTTCCATGAACTTGTTGAAAATCTTGCAAACGATGAGACTGACTACTGACTTACACCTTGGCTTTCTGAGCTCCTTGGTATTTATTCAAAATGAAGCAGAGGTGTGATTATAGAATATCCTAATAGGACCTGTTAGGAAAACAATAAAAAATAGCTTTGTATAAGAGATATTTCTATAAATACATTCATAGCAACATTATCACAGTAACCAAAGGTGAAAGCAACAGAAGTACCCATATATGGATGAACCGAAAACAAAATGTGTTATTTATCTACAATGGGATATTAGATTTTAAAAAGAAAGTTTAAAATGCTGTCACATGCTATAGTATGATGATCCCTGAGGTTATTATGCTGAGTGAAATAAGTCAGTCACGAAAACACAAATGTATGATTCCAGTTCTAGGAGTTACCTAGAGTTGTCGAATCCGGAGACAGTCAGTGGAATGGTCCTTGCAGGGCCTGGACGGAGGGGAAAACGGAAAGAGATTGTCTTAATAGGAATAGAGTTTCAGTTTTGCAAGATGAAAGAGTACTGGAGATTGCTTACACAACAATAGAAATGTACTCACACTATTAAGGTGTGCATTAAAAATGGTTAAGATGATATACTTATTATATGAACTTTCATAGACTTTTTTTTTCTTTTTCTTTGGAGAGGTTTTTGCTATAGGGCCGTGCGCTCACCAGAAAGACAGAGAGACAGAGAGACAGAAAGCAAGAAATCACCCCCCAAGGGGGGATGGCCATGCCACAATCTCTTCTCTTCCATTCTCCTCTCCGTATCTTGGGTACACACGCACACATGCCCGGTGTGAGTTTAAGCCACCAGGTCCGAGATTCGAACTGCAGTCGACTACATGGGAGTACAGCGACATAGCCATTATGTTAGGTGACATAGCCATTATGCTAACTGCTGGTCCCTATAGACTTTTTTTTTTTTAATCTCCATATAAAGGAGATGGGAGTAGATGGGTGGAGGGGATCCTGGTGGAAGGATTGAGGCCAAGCTGATTAAATAAATAAAATATTGGAAAAATCTGGCATTATGGACAGAAAAGCAAAGAAGATGAAAGAAGGAACGATGGAAGGAAGGAAGGAAGGAAGGAAGGAAGGGAGGAAGGGAGAGAGAGAGAGAGAGAGAGAAAAGGAAAGAAAAGAAAGAAAGAGAAAGAAGAAAAGAGAAACTTTGGCCAGTCACATTGTTATATGGTTCCTGGTGTTGAGACTACATGGGAAGATCCTGGGGTCCTGTCCTGAGGTCTCCCCATATAAGCCTGTGATAATGGCTAACTGAGGCAAGGGGTGAATTGGGTGTGAAGACCCTGTGGGGAGTGTCTCTCTCTCTTTCTCTCTCTCTCTCTCTCCATCTCTCCCCCCTGTCGAGGAATAAATAAAGTTTTAAAAAAGTAATAATAACTCACCGACGCTTCACAAACCATAATGCAAGGAATAGCAAAATGACCAAGCAGGTCACTATTGTTGCCAAAAAGATCATGCCAGTAGAGATGGGGTGTCCTGGCAATTAGGGGGACAAAAGCATGTCACTTCAAATCTTATACACTGAATTCTGTGGCCTTACTTTGCCCATCTGAGTATCAACACGACCACTCACCCGCTTACAAAGCATGGCTGGCTCCAGCTCCTTCTCTCATATTCCCAGACACCATATACCCATTTCTTGGTCCCTCTTGCCATAACCCACACAATGTACAGTTCCTTCATTCTTACCTCTTCTCTACCTTGGATAATGTACTTTTATTCCTGTTAGAATTGGTTGGGGTCCCAGAGATATATCAATCTATCTCTTTAACTCTTCCATCAGTCAAGCCCCATGCTTCCCCAGAACCTCCCTCTGTATGTGAGGACCACCCACTCCCATTTCCTTCCTCACCCCAGTGCAGGTTGATGTCCTGGCCTCCTAGGCTGCTGTGCTTCACTCGACAAGACAGGCCGGCCTCCTCCCCAGCTGCTATGTCCAGAGTGACCCGGACATACCACGTCCAGTCAGCATTGGGCAGGACGTCACCTTGCTGAGTGCCCGGCTGCTCCTGCTCCCCCCGCATCCACATCACCCACCTGGGCTTGGGGTAGAATCCTGAGACGTGGCACACCAGCAGCAGCCGGCCAGGCCCGGGACGGGCTCCACTGGACAGCCAGGCCTGGGGCTTCACTGAGACAGGAAGGGGTAGGGAGAGTGTCACAGTGAGACTCCAGTCCAGAGCACTGGCTCTCAGACACCCACAAGTCTGGACAGTGACCTCTCCCACTCCTCTGGGGACCAAATATTATTAAGCCTCCTTTCTTCTTGAGGACTGCCCTACTCTGAGCTTAGAAAATGTGATGAAAGTGAAAGAGAGAGCAAGACCAACCTTGCCTCTGTAGATCCACCTTCCCAGCATCAAGGACTCCCAAGAGATATCGGGGACAGGTTTCATAGAGGAGCTTCCTTACAATTTTAAAGGTGTTGGGAAATAAATTGATCAGTGTGCACACTTCCTGCGCCAGCCTGCCACCTTCTGGGGAAGGCGTGCATGTATCATTCTGGAAGCTCAGGAACTCCAGTCCTCCTACAGCTGTCCTCAAGAAGCTTTCTGTGGCACCTCCAGGACGCAGCTCACAACCTGCTATACCCTGGACCTCAAAGGGGTCTTGGTATAAGGAAAATAGAACAAGTCATTAAACATAGCAAGAAAAAAGAGATGAGAAAAGGATGTGGGATTTGGGGATTTGGATAGGAATAAAAGTCTGGGATGTGAAATGATGAGCCAAAAACATATTAAAGTACTTACAGATTTTAAGAAAGAATATCACTGGGAGAGGTTTGCATGATGATGGGGAGGGGGCTGGAAAAACATGCTTAGTGGGTAAGAGGGAAGAGGAGAGGTAGCGTGTGAGGAACAGTGTGGTGGAATCAGAAGGACAGCATCCCATCCCGAACAGAAGGATATCATTGAGAGGAGGCTTCAGAGGGGAGACAATTGAAGAGATGGATGAAAGGAGGAAGCCACACTTCATAGCACCCAGCACAGGTTTGGAGAAGAAAGGGCCCTGAGGAGCAAGTGTTGCACTAGTCCCACCAGGGGTTCATTCCAAAGGGGGAAACTTAATCTCTCAGAAAAGAGTGCAAAAGCGTCAAGAATCTGCAATACTTTGTGAAGATACAGAGTCAGAGTGAGAGATGAGTCTAATAAAGTGAGGACAATGGGAGACGGATCCGAGGGATCAGCAGCTTACACAGAGATAAGAAAGTCATGGAGAATCTTCCCAGTTCAGAGGACTGAACTCACACTTCTCAGATCCACTGGTGCGTTTCTGAATTTCTTGAAAGAATCTGACGAAGTAGAATCGAACTAACTTTACAAATTCAGTGAACTCCTCACCACTGAAGTTGCCCTTAGACCAGGGCTTCAGTAATGTGACTGTGTCTGCATCTCTGTCCCAGCCATGTATCTGCAGATCACCCAGCCAGCCTGAGCCTTGAATTTGTGCCCAGCTGCTGTTGACAAAGGAGGCCATTTTGATGATATGGTACGAGGTCGGCCCCTGGAAGGCTGTGAAGAGTGAAAGGATAAAATGGTAAAGAGAAAGGAAGAAGGGACCAGCAGTTAGCGTAATAGCTATGTCGCTGGACTCCCATGTAGTCGACAGCGGTTCAAGTCCCGGACCCGGTGGCTTAAACCCACACTGGGCGCATGTGCGTGTATGCCCAAGATCCCGAGAGGAGAATGGAGGAGAAGGGATTGTGGCATGGCCATCCCCACTGGGGGGT